TGATCAATCTGAATGTAGTATGATTTACATATATGTATAAAGTGTTCAATTGTTTTTTAGGTAATTCTAATTGATTAACATTGATCAACTTGAATGTAAATCTCCATACATACATATTTTATGTACTGTAGACTTGTGGTTTCATCAACACTGATCAGTCTAAATGTAGTATGATTTATATATATGTATAAAATGTTCAATTGTTTTGTAGGTAACTGTAATTGATTAACATTGATCAACTTGAATGTAGACACAAAGTATATTGTAGAATTATGTTTTCATCAACGTTGATCAATGTAGTATGATTTACATATATGTATAAAGTGTTCACTTGTTTAGTTAATCCTAATTGATTAACATTGATCAATCTAATATTAATCTGAGTGTAGTACGATTTATAAACACGTTTACATTTTTTAGTTAATCCTGGTTCATCAATCTAACTATAGTACGATTTACATGTATAAAGTTATTCAATTATTTTTTAGTTAATTCTAATTCAGATTGATCAATGATTTACACATGTGCATGTATAGTTGCTCTTAGTTAGACCTATAGTTAAAATTCTTTTCATTAACGTATTACATAATTTGGAAGTTCAATAAATTGATAGTAAAAATCTAGGAGCAAGTTTTGAGGAGACGTTGTAAAGGGGAGGTATTCAATCCTCAAATCCACTGAATTGCAGATCAAGTCATGAAAAACAATTTTTCAATGTTTTTACATACTACGATAATTGCCTTCGCTTTATCATATGCACATAACATCTCCACTTTATCACAAAATGATACATTTTGAAAGCAAAGACTTTAAAATGAGTCCAGGTTTACTTCCATTAGCAAAATCACGACATTTCCAATATTTAGCACTAGAACCCAATGTGTAATTTCCAATTTGTAATTTCTATTCCAGACGTATTCTCAGAGATTAATTAAACTTCTTTACCCTATTATATTATTTATTGTAAATCTATTGTACTAAAATTTTCTGTCTTCTTCTTCCTCTACCTCAGTGTCCCTGACGGAAATTTTGTGCTGTTCTCTTAATATTAAGTGATCCGCTGTACATACAGGAAAATACAGGAACACGCATTCCATTAGATGTGCGAAGCGGCCGATTTAAAGGAAAATCGAACGGGTAAGGAGGGACAGTTGTGATCTATTACCCATCACGAGACACGTAGTCGGTGCTGGCTGCGAGGTAGTCGCGTAGGTCGTGTTAATCTCCGTGTATCCTTGTTGCTCGACAGACGGCTCCTCCGCCGGATCACCGGAAGCTTCCAAACTGTCGACGGCATCCGTGCTTCCCTCCAGCGACGGCGTGTAATTACTTTCTATCGTCGTCGATGGGAGGAACGAGGGGTCGGTGGAAGGATCGGTGCTCGGATTGTAATTCTGCCACCAACAATATACCTCGCCGCCGACGCATAGACAATGAGAGTTTGGATCGTACGACGGTATCTGCAACGGAAAGAGGAAAATTCATACGTACGTGTATGATTGCACGCGCGCATCGTGTTACTTTTGTTGGAATACGGCACGACGGTGGCCAGATATTATCTGGCGGTGTGCCTTTTTCGTTCCTTTCTTTCGATTGGGCTCTCTAGGGGATGTTGAATGAGTTGCAAATAGGAGACCAGTTCAGTAGAGATCTTAACATTGTTTGGAGTCAATTCCTGACACGCAGGTTAAACCGATAATTTAATTAAATATTCGAAAAATTATAGTTTTAATTTTAAAAAATATAATTATAATTTTAAATATAATTGTAATATATATATATATATATTATAAATATTAATTGTAATTTCAAGGAATTAATAACTTTTTAAAATTATTCGTCGTTAAATTAATTCACTTGCATCGTGTAGAGAAATATCCCGCGAGTAAATTCTAAAACGCGAGCAGCGATTAAGAACCTTATATTTATTCATATAAACGGAAGGCTCAGAAGTAAATTACTGCAAATGGCTTCTTATTAAAAGTTTTTTATATTTTAATATCTTTCTGTTATTAAAACTATCAATCGATGAAACAGTCTAGCTATTATTTCGAATAATTTATTTCAATGATATTTTTAATTTTCAAATATTCTAATAATTATGTTATAGTAATTATAAACTATTGACTGAAGATTTTGTCAAAAAGAAGGATACTTTCGTAGCACATATTGTTCTTGATCAAAAGTGTGACTTATACTGACTAATTAAGAGCTCTCCATATCATATTACGCATTCACGTGTTCTGACATTTCATTGTAATCAGTTAGTATTAATAGGAGAATAATAAATATTTAAATCGAGATTTGATGAATTATAAATACACGTGGACCTGTGCAATTTAAGCCATGAAGTCGCGATGCAAACAGATTAATAATTTCAACAACATCAAACGATGATCGAACGTTATTAAATATCAATGAATTAAACAACGACCATTTTGAAGTATAAGAGAAGAATTGAGAAACTGTGAAAAGCGTCCAGCATCGAACGTGTTAAAGAATAGAGAGTGTTTTACATTAATAATTTAAACTTCAACGACACAGAAAATAGAGCAAACAAAGTTTTCAAGAAAATGTACATCGTGAGAGAAGAATATTTTATATCTGATACATATTACATTATTTCAAGACAGAGTCCAAAGTTTAGTCGGTCAAAGTATAGATTGTATAATGAATAGTTTGTCGATAAGTTTGTCAACAAATTTCTGAAATTTGCAATACTGTAATGCATAATTCAAAGTCTCGGGGGATGAAATTAACGTCGTTCGAATTCATTGAAAATTTCGGTCAGAATCCAATGCGACTGCATTACGCTTGAAAAAAAAAAAAAAAAAA